ATTAAACATTACATTTATCGCAATGGAGAAATACTAGCATTTTAAGATGGCTCTATTACATTTAAAAAAAATTTAATATAATACACGCAATGTTTAACTTCTTTGGATTTTTAATTTCACTTCTCAAAGACACATACAAAACAGGGCAATAGACAACCGAGTTAACAGAAAAGCCAGTGTAGCCAAAAAATACGTTACTCACAAAACAACACACATACTGCACCAACTGCACCACCACATTTACACAGTCATATTCATTTATAATCTTTCAGCCTTAGTCATTTAAAAATGGTTCCACAAATAAATTCTAGAACTACATTTTCCTTATCATTACGACTTCATCAAAATAACTAGCTGCAACACAGTCCCATCTCACATATTGCATATCAGCTACAAACGTTGATTAAACATACGAACAAATAACAGAACAAACTCACACGTTTAATTTTCGTTCTCAAAACAAAAATGCTTTTAAACATGATGAGCCGCGAACCCTAAATTCTCTATTGCTCCTTCCTTTATCCTTCCCATCTCTAACGACAACACTCTGTCGTTTCCATCTCTGAATTCACTTCTTCTCCCTAGCCAGTTTTTAGTCCCAACATTTCAAATTTCTCAGCCAACTCATCTCACGTGCACTCTGACAATTCTATTTAAACAGTGTTTGACACAAATATTTCTTTAATTAACCCTATCATTGACACCCAAGACAAAATTTTCGACTCAGAACAGATTCCAACTACACACTACTCACAACCACCTTTTCTTACAAAATTTCCCTCAGTCCCTGTAAAAAATTGCCAGTTCATCCTATACAAACGCAACTCCAAAACTTTCCCTTCCCTCTACTACACTCTCTGATACCCCAAGTCCTATGACAGACGACCAGCTAGAACACGACCTCGACGATTTTATACAATACCAGCAACAAACTCGTAATAGTGACCGCCAATTTGCAATTAATCAACTAGCACACTCAGCCTCACCATCACAAACATCAACATCATCCATCCGTAAGGCTCCCAACCTTGCTCAACGCATCCTCATGAAACAAAAACACCGTACTAATTCGCCCTGAAATCTAAGAAGTTTGACCCTCATCGTCGTGACTCTTCCGTAGTCATCGCCGTAGTAAAACTAACACTTATGAATTTAGCTTGAAAACCTCCCAACTTCCCCCATTATTTTTATAGTCTTACTGAACCCCAAAGCCAACGCGACTCCTATGTTGATGAAAAAACCCTCCTCCCTACCTTCTCCTGGTTATCATTTTACAATTTCCATAAGCCTTTAAAAATACCTATACCTAATCGCAAAGCCGAAGAAGATGAGCTTTAAATAACTATACTACATCAACTGAACCTTGCACTATAGCTTAAAAACTTCAATAGTATTGGACTCTGACTTGTGATTAACCGTTTTATCGCACAAAAATCTAACCAATTCCCAAACACACAATACGATCACGCAGTCTTATGCTAGAGGGAAGACTCACCTGACGACACGAATTTTTAACCAAAGCCGATTATGTATTTGTCTTAGAGAGCACTTTTGACCACGTTTTTGACCGAACACACACTTCAGATTACTAAGGCATAAGAGTTCTTTTTCACTCAATTTGCTAATGTTTAAATCACCTTCAAATCCCTCGTACTCAAAAAATACTCGCATGAAGTTGAGCTGGAAAACAAAACCAACTCATACTAAACACTTTTTACCGCTTCATTCAGAGACACTTCTTACATAAATTCCCCTTACGGAATGCCTACGTAATTACGATCCAGTCCATCAAAAGTATAAAATTTGGCCACACATCAGCCATTACCCCATTGAGGACTCCTGCAACAATATCGTCCTACATAAGTATATTCAACTTGTCGAAGTAGCCCTTTTAGAAAACATTCAAAATATTAACCTCATAAAGCTCATTCAAAACACTCACCTCAAATTGAACGTCATTTCCGAGGAAACTAAGGTGATCCACAAACTTACTACCACTTTTACAAACTAAAAACGTCATTAGCATCCTTGCAAAACTTCCTATGCCATCACCCACGATTAAAACTATCTTCTACTATGGACTTTTTCCGTCCCCGACACCGGCAAGTTTGAATTTGTTTTTCTAATTAATATTTCATTCACCAATTTTTACATATTTCTTTCACAAATTTCCTTTTACCAGTTATATCAAAACAACAAAAAACAAGAATTGAAACTTTTGTAAGACTTTCAAACAAATAATGCTAACTATTTGCTGTAAATTCTCGAAATGAATGAACATTTAAGCGAAGCACTAATTGAATAATTCTATGCAGTAGGATTCCAATACAAAATAATGAAAAAAAAACAAGTAGGAATTGAGACAAAAATTAACATCTTTATGTGTGCTTTTTTGTAAACTTCCCAATTTGCAGTTTGACTCGTCCCTTTTTCATGCACTCCTTTCCACAATCTCGCATAACTCTCCACTACAGTTTCTGCGAGTAATTGAAATTCTAGTTTGGCAAACTAACTGATAACAATATTACCTGATTTTACACTCTTCAAACTTTCCTTAAATCCGGTTGGAAAGGGGAATTAAATTTTAACTTAAAAAACCAACGCAGCTTACTAATACCAAACCACTAATATCATGTTCAGGAAAGTCCCACAGTACACGAATCAGATTTCCACGTTTCAAACTTTCCCGAAATCCGATTGGAAGAAGGGATAAAATTTGAATTTGAATAACCAACACTGCTTACTAATACCATCGCACTAATAACATGTTCAGGAAAATCCCACAATATTCAAATCAGATTAAAACCAGATTAAACTGGATAAATTATTTTTTGAAGATCAACTCCAGTTTTATTATGGACATTTGATACCGTAATAAACCCACAATTTCTACAAACTAAAGAAGAATGGTTTTTGAGATAAAGACACTAACCGAAAGAACAGAAAAACACCTGATATAAAGAAAGAAAAAGTTACGCACAAAAAAAGACTCTAACCAAAGAGAAACTCAAAAGCTTACACCACAGGCCTACCCCACCAGGCGTCGTTCGAAGCGCATGTGCTCACTGTCTGCCTAAAATCCCGACCCACCGTTTTTCTTAGGAGTAGCTCTAAGGTTAGCAACTCTTTTAAAAACCGAACTAATTCAAAGGCTTTTGCGAAAATAGCTAGTAAAGGTCATAACTAAAACTGAAATTACCAAGAGGTGCAAATATTTATGTCTAGAATGGCAAACCTGTTGGTTTTGCTTGCCGCAGTCCTAACCATCCTAGGATATAAAATATGGAGCCAATATCGCAGCAAACGTATCCGTTAAACAAAAGAAATGGCCAACTCGATATTGAACTCAAAATAAGGATCCTAGTCACTTAGTGCTTCACTCAAAGAAGTCAAACGCTATCTCGCTACTTGATCAATATGACCAATAACCAATAATACACGTAGTTTTGCTCTACCGAGTGAAATCGACTTATCATTAACAAGATTCAGTAACCTCATTACGATCTTTGACGACTCTCTTCAACTCTTTTCAATCTCTATCTCTCTTTCAACAACAAATATCTCAATGACACGAGCAACTGGTACTCTTCTCAAAGAGCAACTACGACTCTTCTTCACAAATATTTTAGAATAGACTCCATATATCACTCACAAGAAAAATTTTCATTTGAAAAATTTTCTAAACCCTGGATGGGTGGAATCAGTTTAAATAAGTGTTTCTTATCCAACTGTAGTCTTTAATTATAATCACTGTAAAATTCTTAGAAATAATCAATCATGGCTCATTAATAAAACTTATGGCTTATTTATAGTATCAGCCAGAGAAGAAATAATTCAACCTAGAAAGCAGTTGCTCTTTGTCTCCTCTGACATCGCAAGAACACCAGTATAAACTAGATCTATTGAGACTAGGAAATTTAAGAGTAAGATTAGGATCGATATAAGAGTAAAAAGTTGCACGAACCTATCCGGCCGAAAATTAGATAACGTGACGAACAGACGGTATACCCTATCCGAATTTACTCTACGAGAAAAGTACCCCGGACCTTAACTCAGTAGGGATGACTTAAGAAAAGACAAGCGGTACGACTTAAAACTTAACTAGAGGCAAGTCTTATGAAAATACTGGCGGCACGACATAGGAAAAGACTGGCCGCACGACTGAAAAAAAAACTGGCGGCGCGACCACGAATATCAAAAACTATATGCACGAATTCAACCCGCAGCGCGACAACAAAAATCAGTCCAAACAATTTAGGCATCTAGAAATTAAGGCAATTAGAAAATTAGGAATTTAAGCGCGACTTACAAAGTTTTTTCTTAAATTTGGGATCTCGATCAAGGTTTTTTTGTTTTAGGATAATATTTTTCCGGGGCTTAGCACACTTCATAGGAACCCATCTCCATTAAAAACTGATTAAACCGCTTTTATAATACTTTTCAGGGAATTCGTATATTAAAAAAAGTTTTAGCGTTGGGCCTGATACTCTATGGCCTCTAAGACCTAAATGAATCAAAAGTTCATCAATACTTTTAACAATATTTCAAAAGTTAAATGGTTGGTTACAATTATATTTTCCTTTAAAATTCTACCAAACCTTACTGTAGGCATGCAGCTACGGCACCAGTTGTTATTTGAAATTTTTTTTGTTTATTTCTTTTTTCTATTTTTTTCCAGGCCCTACTACCGTTTTAAAATCGTCCTCTGATTTAATTCTTCATCTTAATTGCTTTCAGGACTCTTTTTTATGCAAATGCTATGAGGATATTTCAGGTTTCATTAAAACTAATGAGATTTTTTTTCGTTTCAACGCAAAAGCTTCGGGGCTTCAAAGTATTCATCGTCTTCAGACGCCACTGCCATAATAGCTTTCATGTTTGTTACCATAGAAACAGATAGCTTTATTTCCTGCTTTGATAATACATGTCTTTTTTGCAGTTTGGATAGGAATTATTTGACTGCGTTTCTAATCATTTTGAATATACAACCAAATTGGATGCTAAGCAAAAAAATCGTGAAAAATTTAACCAAGTAAAAATTTGTTACTACACAATTGGTAATACAATGCATCCGTGTTATTATCAAAAGCAAAGTTTTTTTTCTGTATTAAAAATAAAAATAATCAATTAAGGAAGGGAATTGTGAATAACTTTCCTTTTGCTTGGTAACAGAACTCAATCCAATTAAAAACGGAAACTAAAAAAACCCAACTACAGTTTCCGTGGTTATACTTTTTACTTACTATTTCATTTATTTTGTTTTTCTTTGACTTGCTGAAAAAAATTGGTTGCTATATTAGCTTTAGCTGTAAAAAGTTAGCTACTAAAACTGAAATTGAAAAATGAGTTCCAGTCAGAATTATCACTCGGATATTGCCGAAGTTGTGGAACTTTCGCAGCTTCAGACGCTTTTGGACAACTCCTCATTGGACAACGACTCTGTGGTGACTAATATTACGACAGTGTTTCCTGAAGATGGTGTAGATTCAGTGGATATGGGGGAAAATTATTTGTGGTACCTAAAAAGGAGGGAGTCAATACTGCTTACCAACTATTCTCTGCGGGTAAGTAAGACTGATTCTCACCTCTATTTCCCCACATCATTTCCGCCATTGAAAACGCTACCTCCCATTTTTTTTCAAGAAGTTGGGGAATTAAGAAACTAAAAATTCGGTATTTTTATACATTCAAGTTTTTTTTGATTTTCTACCAAAGTTTTTAGTTTTCTATAAAATTCCCGGCACTTAGCATAATGGTAAGGCCAAGCTGCGAAACATCGATTGATATTATCAGCTAGATGTCGTCATATAACAAAAAAATAAGATAGAAAACCAAATGGGGTGTTTTCGAACTTTTCAACTCTAGCATATACACAAATATACGCAATAAAGGTCCTGAATTACAAGAGTAGCTTCAGTGTATATTTCTGGCCGCCGCGACTGTGGATTTTCGTTCGAGCTCTGACAAATGTTTGACCGGCCTCGGTCGAAACATAAATCGCAAACCTCGACCGCGGAAGCAAGGAGAACAATCGCTCGCTACCTATTTCAGAAACTATGTAACTACTATCAGATGTTTGATACTTTTTGGAGCTATCTTAATAAATCCTCATTTTGACCAAATGATTCTTAATGTTTTCTAAAAGCGCGTCCGGCTCCACATACATTGATATTGAGGGGAAACGCTCAACAAAAAAGCACAGACTTTTTATTCAAAAGTTCCGTGCATACCACTTGTGAGGATGGCATGACACACCTTATTCCACCTCGCAGATTTAGAGTTTGATAAACACCCCCCTTTATCATGCCAAGAAACTGAATATATCTGATATTGATGTAATATACGGATCGGATTGTGTTTTATTTTATTTCTTACTTCCAAATATGTTTTAGGTGATTCTTGGAGTTCTGGCTCTTGCTCTCAATCTATACATTCTCGCAATGCTGTCGTGCTCCCGAAGTGTTGGTAAGCTGAAACTCTTTCCTCTTGGCTTGCAATCGGCCATGATCATCATCGACACTGGAATCGGAAACATCTACATGACTACACTTCAAATGATTTTCCTGAAATCAAATAACGGCAACGAAACCGTTCATGAAACCGAATACTATTTCAACCAAAACCTAGCTGAGTCGATGCGTGGGAGCGTCATAAAAAATTACAATGGCGTGTTTTGCAGCGCTCACATTTTCGACAAATTGATTAGCATTTATGGTTTCGCTTTTTGCGTTTTTGCATTGGCTTTTGAAAGGTTTGCAACAGCGTTTAACCCATTCAAAATCAACAAAAGTGCTGCAATACAAATTCATTTGTTGGGATATTTTGCTCTGACGTCTTGTATTTTTCTTCTCTTCATCGCGGGGTCAATTTACGCCGGCGTCAATCAAGGAGCTGATTGTTTCCGGTCATTCTTTGAAAACGCAAAAACGCAGGTTTGGTTGAACCTCGCAATTTTTTACCTCATCCCTGGAATCTTATCAATCATATTTTATACTACAATTTATCAGCTCTTACAAACAGTTTCGCCCGTTGTTAAACCTCTGTTTATAAGTTGTCTTGCATGGTTCATTTTCTGTGCGCCCAAGTTTTGGTACCAATTCAGCGATGTTAATTTTCTGGATCCGCCGTACCCAAACCGGTCGAAGCTTTTCTATATCTGGCACAATACAGAACTTCACGAAACTTTCGAGGATGTGTTTGGAGTTCTGAATCCAGTTATTTATCTTGCTTTCTACCCTGGGTTTTGGAACGGGGTCGGAAATTGTCTGATGGAGTTGGAGAAGGTTTTCAGGAACAAAAAACTGGAGATGCAAAATGGAAGCACGGATCACTACGTGGATGAAATAAACAGAGTTTCGGGAGACGTGAAACTTCAGATGCGAACAATGCGAACTTCTGTCTATCAATGATGTTCATCACACAAAAAAAGATTTACTACGAAAACTCTCAGAACCGTGCTTGTTTTATTAGTCAGTTTCTAGAAAAAAAATACATATTTTGATTCTATTGAAACGGTTAGAAGTAAGATGATGCAAGCTCTTCCTAAAAATAATGATTTTCAAATTAAATGATAAATCAGCTCTTCACTCCCCACACCTCCCATGAGAATCACTATTCTGGGATAACGAGTAGGTTTACGAGACTAAGTAAAAGTCCAAATAAGTCTGTCATGCCAATTTTCGCACCAGTCGGATCACACCAATGAGAACAATAATTGTGCTTGCAAGATGAGAATTGTGGGGGAGGGGATGAAAAAGAGCTAATAAATCAATCAACCCTTTAGATTAAAAGTTAGCTAATAATTAACCCATACAATATATGATGCACCTATGTTCAATTCTATTTTCGAAGTTATTTTTAATTTATTATTAATGGAAACTAATTCCTGCTTGAGAAAATATTCAAAATATTCCAAATGGTTTTTTGCATAGCATTGCCAAACTGTCCATTGAATACTAAAATTAATTTTTTAGTGTGGTGAAGACAAAAAGAGACGAGCGAAGATATTCAATTAGTTGGCAAATTGATTTTTGCTCAAAATTTAGCCATTACAGGAAAAAGTGTTTTCTAAAAACTTTCCAAGTTTTTTTCAACTTTTTTTTGTAGGTGTACCAAGTCTCACAGAACTCTATAGAGAACAAATTCTCCCAAAAATTCTGCGCCCCAGCCGAATTTTTTGGACGATTTTTGGAATGTTTTGACCAAAAAAAAAGGTTCTTTTTGGCGACGTACCCCCTCAAAGTAATAGGTTTGATTGACCAAAACTTGATCTCATTAAGCAATACCAACGGGACAACTCTTTAGCAGGTGGATGAAGAGTCGAATCTCTGATTGGAAGAAAAGAAGCGGCGGTTTCCTTCCTAAACCCGCATCTGTTCATACAATGCAGTGTATTAGAAGGTTTCAATATATCAAAAAAGCAACTGACTCAATCTGGAGCCTTGCGGAACATAATGTTGCCATTCCTAACTTAACATTTGGTTTGACCACTTAGTAACAAATTTTTTAAGAATTCAGTTGATTTCTCCTATAAATCTGTAGCAATGCAAAATTACAATAAAGTTTTTTGATAAATGGATCAAACGCATTGTTTAAATTTAAAAAACAACCGTTTTCATATCCTTTTTTTATCAACAGAAAAGGCACGAATCCATTGAGCGAAAACAGAGCATTATGTAACATCTTGTAGGTAAAAGCCCACGCTATCATGGAGCCTGTTTGTGCGCTGAGGATTACCTATAACTTGGGAGACTTTTGAAAATCGGCAATTAATTTGCGAAATGGATTGTTTTGCGTTTGTTTTATTTTTTGATTCGGAATAATTTTAAGTTGCTTTGAAACTTTGATAAAAGTTTTACTGCTTCCCTTTAGGGTTGTTACAGTTAACATGACCCTGTCTACGCATGAGATGAGCCTCTATTAATTGAGTTGGTTTGATGTATTTTATTCTGAATATACCGATGACATAGCGTCTAGTAACATTTGGAAATCTCCTGGCATGAAATCTTCTAGCATCCGCCTGAAACACATAACAGAGACAGATCGAAATAATAGTTCATAACAAAAAAATTTAAGCTCCCCTGAAGATATCGACTTTTTACCTCCAATCACATTTTTTGCAAAAATTTGGGAGTTTGAAAATTGCCAATTCAGCTATGCTCTGGACTTTTTGATGCGCTTTTCGAAGACTTTAGCCATGATCTTGAAAACGTAAAGCAAATTATTTCGAACTGGCTTTGAAAAGCTTCAAAACTAAGTCTTTTGCGTAAAACCAAAACTAAGCATAAATAAGTTTTTGTTAACAGCTCAAAATACGCATAAGTTGTTTGAACTTCCCACGACCATAGTTCTGGCTGTTGATTGAGCTTCCCAAAAGCGGACGTTTTTGGCAGTTGTTTGAACTTCTCAATACCGAAGTGTTGAGCAGTTGTTTTAAATTCTCAAGACCAAAATTAACGGGAGGTTGTTTGATTTTCCCAAGTTTGGAATCCAAAGCTTTTCGGGCAGTTGTTTGAACTTCCCAAGACTAACGTAGAACAGTGCATCAAAATTCCCAGTACTGAATTAAAATACCCTACGGCTTTTTTCTGAGCACCCTCCCTATTCTAAGGATCTTTGCTAGTCTGAGAACCGACCAGGTGTAATGTCAACTTTTCTTAAAATCACTCTATGCCTAAATTTCAGTTGTCATATCCGAGAAACTTGTCTAGTGCCTTATTCAAACAGACTTTTTTAAAAGGTGATAGGAAATGGATATCTTCAAGACATATAGAAAAAATTTTTTGCTTCCTAATCTTATCCGGCAAACTACTCCCTCCGTCGTTCAACCTATCCCTTTTCCGACGTTGATACCAGATTATAAGAAATATCTAATTCGGCGATGTTGATCAATAATTTTTAGCAAAAACACCAATTTTACAGTTTCCAACGAAACCCTTCAGCCTAACCACCCGCTTTAGTCTAACCACCACCTTTAGTATAACCTTTCTCCTTAGTCTTACCATCCCCTCGTTTAAGAAGGAACTCGATCTGTGCAAAACCACTCAAGAGAATTCCCGTAAAACTCGTTTTCCAGCTCTGCTAAAAAACGTTTGCTCAAGTCAAAAAAATGTGGTTGGAGCCGATACCAATCACTCTTAAACTTTTTACCTAATGAATGAACCGCAACAAAGGGACTAGGAATCTTAAACAACCTCGTCTTAAACTAGTCTTAGTTTAAGTTATACAGTCTGATTCAACCCAACTTTTTATCCAAATTTTTTAACATGGCGCAGTCAAACGAGTCGAACCTACGAGGACTAGAGTTTTTTTGGAACAACTCATCGAATGAAAACCAACACGATTGGGAAAGGTGGTCAAAAAAGTTTCAACAAACAATTATCGCAAAGGATTCCGTAGACATCGAAGATGTAATCAACCCACCGGTGAGAACTGAACTAGTTTACCCCATGGCAGAACCACCGGACCCGTCCGATGATCAAGCCCGTCGGGCCGAAAAAGAAGAACACCACCGAATAGCTATACAAAACTACACCGAAGAATTGAGAAGGAGAAGGGCAGAAGACAACACAAAATTCAACGGACTTCAAATCGGAGATATTGACAAGAAATTAAAATCACCTTTATACCTAGCACTCGGAAAAGAAGGACAGAAATGCTTTTCACATAAAAATCCTGGTAAAAGAATTTTGGACATTAGTTTTGCCGAATTCTGGGAATTACTCAAAACTACCTTTACGGTCACTACAAATCTAACATACGAAAGATTTAAATTTTTTAGCCGAAGACAGAAAGAACATGAGTCTTTAGAGAAATTCCACGAAACACTTTCCAAATTGGCAAAAAACTGCAAACTGGGGGAACTCGAGTCAGAATTAGTCAGAGACATTTTCATCACAAATATGCGAAACGTCGAGATTCAAAAGAAACTATGTATAGAATACTTGACCCCAGAAAATGTACTAGTTATGTATTAGTTCACGAGAAAGGCACTAAAATCCATCAACAGTACCTAAAATTCCCAACCTATAATGCGGTACAGAGACCTCAATACGTAAAGAATGAACCAACCCTAAACATTGTGGAAACCAATAAGTGCCGCAACTGTGGCCAGCAGTTCAAAAAAGTACACTTAACTACATGCCCGGCCAGAGACAGAAATTGCAATACGTGCGGACGTAAAGGTCACTTTGCTAAACATTGCAGGAGTTCAGCAAGGACACAAACAAACATTGTTGAACAAAATCAAGTACCCCAGGAAAACGAAAATACCCGCGCTAACACGCAGGAAAATCCCGGATTTGAAGTCAACATGGACGACTTTCTAGTTCTAGCGGTAGACACGGACAGCCAAATAAAGGCAGTAGAAGACAAGATAGAACGTGGAGTTAGAACTGTATTTACACCACGAAGGACTAGAATTAAAGAAGACGTTGAAGGTATCTTTGGTAAATTTTAACCCTTACTGTACTGAAATCCAGATTGACTCAGCAAGCCCAGTTGCATTCAAGAAAAAAGACCTACTACATGAACTGAAGATACGAGATAGATTTTTAAAGTTAGAACCTGTGGATGAAACAACAAAGAAGGCGTATCAAGGCTTCCGCAGCACAATCAACATTATTGGAAGAGTTCGAGTGAGAATTCGATCGAAGGGCTGGGATGCTAGCGATGAGAAACTTTTCATCACCGAAGGAGCAGAAAGAAATTTCCTCGGAAACGATATATTACCGAATCTGGGAATAGTAGTACGCCAGAAACAACCTCCACCCAACGGGTCAGAGTTTCGGAAAATTCAGAAAGGATCACCCATCGGGATAGACGTTAATCAAATAAGGTTTGCATCGGATAGAATACAAGACCAAAACCAAGAGACACCTTCACAAAGTGAGTTTAAAACATACGTATCAAGACAATTTTCAGGCCTCATAAAAAGAACCGGTAGATCAAAGAATTTTATAGTTAAAACTTATTTTAAGGAACCATTAAAGCCGATACAGGTAAAGGGAAAACGCATTCCGATCCACCTTCTCCCTAAAGTCAAATCATGTATCGACCAACTCCTAAGAGACGGGCACATTGAAAAATTGTCTAGATGCTCTGAAGATTGTTTCATCTCCCCTATCGTATTTACAGCTAAAAGGGACGGATCAATTAAATTAGCACTAAACTCGAAACTATTGAACAAACAGATATTCCGTAATAGATATCAAATGCCGAACCTATTTGAACTAATTGATAACGTAGCAGTAACGATTAGCGGTCACGACGAAAGAAATATTTGGTTCTCATCGATTGATCTAAAATACGTAAATCGCCAAATACCGCTCTCAAAAAAGGCAAGTAACCAATGTAATTTTAAAATCGTGGGGGGAGAAGTAACGGGCTCCTACCGTTTTCAAACCGGATTTTATGGGCTAGGCGATATGCCTAATGAATGTCAACGTATAATGGACCGTCTGACGGAAAAATTACCAAATACCCATTGTTACCTCGACGACATCTTAATCGCCACCGTGGGTAGCGAGGATGAACACAAAAAGCTAGTTATTAACGTTTTAAAAACGTTAGACGACGAGGGATTAGCCATAAAATGGGAAAAATGCATATTCTTGACTCACAACATAGAATGGTTGGGATTTAAAATCGATGAAAAAGGGACGACACCATTAATACACAAATCGGACGCAATCAGAAACCTGAAAGAACCAAAGTGTATAAAAGAGATAAGATCACTAATGGAATCGATTAATCAGTTCAACAAGTTTATACCAAACTTAGCGTCCTTATCAGCACCGTTTAGAGAACTGATGCAGAAAAATAAACCATTTAAATGGTCCACGGTGCACGCTGAAGCGTTTGAAAAAATTAAGAAAGAA